TATTAAATTTATATTAAATTTATATTAAAACGTATTAATATATACTGCTCAACAAAAATAGGAAACATTTTCAAAACACCCAAAATTGCATAATTTTCAGATCACTGAAATTCAGTAAACAATCATCGCAGACAAAAAGAACATATCAAATCTTAAACTTGTATTTTAACGGTTTTTGACCATTTTTCAAAAAAATTTTTATTTTTATAATTCTGTATCTTAACAATTAAGATAATTAAAGACCTTATTATGTTCTGTAAAATTACATTCAAAAGTTTACAGTTTGATAAAAAATTTTTTTCATAAAAACTTAATATTTTTACAAAAAAATATATAGTTTTACAAAATGCTTTTTTAAAAACTTTCTTATGATTTTTCTTAACCGAATTATACGACTTTGAAACTGAATTACATTTCTTACAACTAATACATAAGAGGATGAATTATCGAAAAAAGTCACTTGAAGCTGATAATAATTGTAAAAATTTAAGTTTTTATATGAATAAATTCATCATCTCTATATATAATCTTGAAATTTGTAACTTCTTTCGAATATAATTAACATATATATACAAATATGGTTCAATTGTATCAAAGAATACAAAACTCTGGTGGAAAATTTTCGCTGAAATTATTCTACGTTTTGGAACACTTTTTTGCAGAAAAATTTCAGTAAAAATTTCAGCAAAAATTTCAGAGAAATTTCAGTAAAATTTTAAAGAAATTTCAGAGAAATATCAATCCAATTTCAATGATTCTTCGATATCAGTTGAAAAATTCACTTTCATTGAGAAGTTTCAACCAATTTTTTATTTCGCTGAAATGTTTTAAAACCTGAAATAATTTATTAATTTCAATGAACTTTTTTCACCAAGGTATATAAACAATTAATTATTATGATTAGCATACTGAGAGTAATTACTGTATGATTTTATATCGTATTTTCGTCATATAATGCAAACGTTATACAGTTACAAAAATTTGATCTTTTTTGAATTTTCACATGAGAATAGTATCATTTGATTATATGAAATGTATATTTAACTTTGTACATATATGTTATTCACAAAAAATCATCCATATTTATAAATTTCAATTTCGAAATTGAAAAATTATGAAATTTATATGTCGCAGTGAGATATATTGCCGAAAAAGTGGCTAAAAGTCAAAGATGTATACACAATAAATAAGAGTTTAATGTCTATTACTATTTATATGATCGAAGATTCTTTTTAAATAATTTCTATGTGAATTTAAATACTAAGTATATAGTCATTTGAACTGCGCGCCGATATGATTTTTCGGACTTACAAATGCAAACTACTATAGTATCACAAATTAAATTGATAATTTAATAATTTAATGCTCAATCTGGCATCCTATATCATAAAGATGTTAATGTATTGAAAAACTGTAATTAAATTTGGCCTTGATCTTGACAAATATGTTATCCGTGATTCTGAACATTCAAGAGGTTTTAGCCAGATGAATATCTTGCGTAATGTTAATGCCGACGTACTGTAACTTTCAAGTCTTAACTAACAACTCGAAAAATACTTAATGGAAAATAAATTTATTACAGTGTTTTGAAAAGTTCTTGACACCAGCTATTAAATTCTGGCATAAAAAATAGAGCAAAATACGGATTTTACATTTTAATTACACTTTACTTCAATTTAAAAACACGTTTAATCAAAAAAGACAGAGACTAAGAATTACAGCATGTTTGTCGAATAAATAGTTATTCAATAAATAAATTTCAATGCAATTAATGTAAATGTGCTAATCGCTTTATCAAATCGTTTTCTAAATTAAATTTGATCAAAATTATCAAATAAATCAATCTTTCAAATATTTTCTAGAGCAACTATCATGAAACATTTCGATCCATTCTAACTTGTTTCATGATAGGTGCCCTTTTGTGTAACTCGTTAAGACATCATTGCACAGATATTTTATGATATAAAAAGCTGCGCAACGTGTCGTTACTATTTTAATAAATTACATAATAGAGTACTTGTAGGTCTATTTTGTAACTTTTAACAACATTCGTTATACTGTCATTGTACAACTTTTTTATCATGTAAAGTATCTGCGTAACGATTCGACATTTCTAGCTAGTAAAATTGTCATTAAAAAGTTAGAGGCGTGTTCTGATTCTCATCAGCAGCAGTATTTTGTAACTGTCTTTACGTACCTACCGACAGTTGTCGATGTCGTTGCGCAGATATTTTATATAATGAAAAAGTTGCGCACATAACAATATTGACACATAACATTGTCGTTAAAAGTTACAGAATAAGGTTTCTGAGGTGCTCCTCAGATGTCATTTTTATTTAACAGTTCAGTAAACAACAAGGATGACATGACATTCGGGAAGCCCTAGGGAATTCGAACATAGTTCTGAATACTGGTCTCTCGATCACGACAATTATTGATTGTAATCTGTTATCTGTCTTACCGTGACTCGTGATAAAATTGGCGAGATAGAGATCTAGTTCCCGGACAGAAACGTTAATATGATAAGGATTGACGCAAAGTCCCGGCTGCGCGCATTCCGCAGTTTTTTCAAGCCGTTCCCCATCCGTCGATTCCAATGGAATTGCCTTGAAAAGAATCACCATAACTAGGTCCAACCTCCATACCTATCACAGAGATTCGAGCATTCATAATAAGAATTTGCATTGTAAAACTCTCACTGTTAAATATTAATGACTCTCTTTAATAAAAATTCATGAAGTATGTATGAAATTAATGAAATATAGATAAGGATGCGTAAAAGCGTACGTGAGTCATCGGACTTACCTTGTCCGCTTGACGAAGACAATCGATTCGACGCATTTTACCCTTTTGATCAGGATTGCTTAGAACGCACATCGCTGGCCTCTTTCCCGTAATACTCAATACAAAGTCCTCTCGATATTCTTGCGTGATATCCTTTCGTAATTTTCCTAGAAGCCGCGAGGCCCATTTCTGTTTTACTTCCAGCTTCTCGTTCTAAAGAAAGAAAAGATATCGTAAATTGCGAACATGAGAATGGCAATCATTCATTGATCATCAATTTCGTGGTCTAACAAGTAATTATTACTCTTTCCTAATAAATAGAATACTTGCACGTATTCAATGTAGCTAGAGAGCAATTTTATTAGTAGATAAGAAAACCTTTTTTTTTTGTAATTACTCTAAATCAGATAAGGTTTCTTATAGACTTTTGGATACTGAAAATAATATCATAAATCAAATTTCGCCAGCATGTAAGGTTTCCAAAATAATTGAAATTCAATGTCAAGAATGGCTTTTTTGCGATACTTGATATTTTTTGTGAACATAATAAACGTAAACATTATCTCAAATTTCTTATCAGAAGTTATGAATGTATTCTTTATCCCTTATAAAATATATTCCTTTTAATTTTAATTTTTTATTTTTAGTCATTATTATGAAAAATTTAAATACATGATTTTTTTAAGATAGCAAATTTTTTGTATATGACAATAAAGTCAAATGTATTTATAATTTTTAGTCTGTGACTATTGATATATACATACACGGACCAAAATTTTTATTTGAAAACATTTTTTTTGAAAGTACGTTTTTTTAAAACATTCAAGACGGACAATTAAAAAAAAATGAATCATTTTGTGTATGTGTGTATAGGGTATTTTCCTGTATGTAACTTAATTATTTAAACTATCTCCGTTGATTTTGGTGATATGAAAAAATACCACAAGAAATCTTGTTCGATTCGAAGAGGTACATATTATGATGAGCAAAAAATTGTCAAGATCATTTTTCTGGGACTTCAAGGTCATTTCTACTTTTTTAAATAGAAATCAATCTTAGTTTATTACACTATACATAAAAAAAATATCTCAAATAAATTTAGAGAAATTATCAATAACTTATGTACAAAAATGTCGTTTTTCTTAACAAAAAAATTCAACAAATAAATTCATTAGAACACATAAGGACAGACTTCCGGATTTTAAAAGATCTAAGAAAAAATTGGTTTACCGCACAAATTTTAATGATTGTGACGCGTCATATGTGGCGTATCAAACGGATAAGAAACTATAAATCAGAATATCAGAACATCATAATCATATAAAAAGAAACACATCATCACAGTCGGTTATAACAGAATATAGGATGCGTTACAATGTGTGAATTTCAATGAAATAAGATGGAAATTTTTAATAAGTAACTAATATCAGAAATGTTGCATATCAAACAACAGCATAATGATCTAAATTTACAGACAGACACGGAAAAGTTAGATTCTACGTATTTTACGTTTTTCAATAACGATTAAATATTATGATTTTAACTTTATACCTTGACTTTAATGCGTGACATTTGTTCAAGTATTCGCAGTCTTTACTTAGAAACCGTTATATCAAGGCGAATACTTCATGTATATTCTCTAAATTTATCTTTATTTTATCAATATAACTATCTATGAAAAAATTTTTGTTATGTAATTTTAATTGCGTAATGAATTATGGCGCTCATGACGAGTGTAGGAGAAATATCTTTTAAAAATAACTGTAATTGTCAATGTATTGTGTGTGTTCTCCAATCATATTTCATATTTAGTTGTGATTACAACAATCTGTCAATTGTTAAGAAATTCACATGATAAATTTGATTGCGGAATAAGAATTTATGATCTAACAATGGATAAGATGGTCATTCTGAAGGTGACTCAAAGAGGAATCGAAACGTAAAAATTCTATTATATTATGATTGCGTTCATCGAAATCACATCAAGGTTTATAGACTAGAATAAACTAAATAAATAAGATAATCGCACTATTAACTGCGATAACTCCTCCTTTATTACTTTTTATTATTTTAAAAGGAATTATATGATTTTTGCATAATATGATTTCTCTAATTATTCTGTACATAAAAGTTAGGATAATGATATCAAAAAATCAATAGTTCATGAGAATCCTAACTTCTTTGCTGTCCGGAGCTTGAACGCGACCAAAACGATTGCTCGGTGCCCGTTGCCTTCAACCCGTCAACTCCATGCATTGCACGGAGCATTGCATAATTAAAGATATCATTACATAATTTGGTTATCCATTTTTTTTGGTTAAATATGTGTATGTGTAAATGTAGGAAACGAATTGAATTAAATAATTAGTGAGCGAGTGAATAATCAATGAGGAGAACTAAAGCTTCTGCAGATATACAATATAATGAAAGGAAATGGACAGTCTTGGACATAACAAGCTCATGATATAAGAATATAAAATATTTCATTCCCTAGGATGCGCAATCGTCTTCAACATGGCTGCTCTGTAACCAATCAAAAATTTGTTCTAAATTTAGGATAAGCATTTGATTGATTGTCCTAATTTAGTCTGCCGATCATTATGCGCAATGAAATACCTTATATTCTTATACTTGGGCTGATCACTGGTTCATGATTGCTCTACGATACCACTAAAACATTCAGAGGTATGCTAAGGACAGTGGCACGCGTAAGCACTCATCATTCTTTCTCTTCTCTTGCTTGGCTCCAGAAACAAGAACAACAGATGCTTAACTAGAAATTCAATTTATAATTACAGGCGATCAATTTATAATTACAGTACTCATTAAACCGAGCAGACGTCGCATCACACGCTGGCAAAGAATTGTAATTCGTAAGCGTATTGAGAAAAAATTTCTTATTAAGGTGATTGTATCACATAGGAGCAACTGTGGAGGGGAGAATAATTGCCCGAAGCGCCAGTGCATGAGAGCACCGTTCGATGTTGATAACAAATTACTGTTCAAAAATTACTGCAGATCACAATTTTTGAATAATAATTTTTATTTCCCAATAGTAATTTTTATTTCTCCACTGTGCGCCGGTATTTGAGAATGAGTTAATAAGCGAAGTAACTATTAGAAGTAGCAATTTTCTAAGATTTTGTAATTAATATTTGTTTGATTATTCCCCATTTTCGAAGATTTCTTTAGAAGATTCGTATTATATTTATAGTTTATCTATAGTTTTTGAGCGAATTTCTAAACGGTTTTTGCGCTATAATTGAACATGTACTGGCGCTCCTTGTCTGACACAGAAAACTCTTTGTTTAGCACATGTTAAAA